AACGGTCGGACTGTCAAGTTGTGTACATTACTTGCACACGATTAGCAGCTGCTTGGAGATCTTCAGATTTCACTGCTATGTAACTTTCATGTAAATATAGTTACTCCTCCACGTGTTTCAGTGCACAATGCCGTCAGCATATACTGTACATATCAATCAATGAACTTTTCTTCGAATCATTTTTACCGTTTAATTAAACTCATCTTTAATGCGAGAAAACAGTTTTTTTCGAGTTAAGTGAACTGTTATGAACACTTTATAGGTATTCAAAATTGACCTTCAACTTCTTCTTTCGAAATAGTGTCGAGAAATATTTGCTTACCGGCTTATTGCCAACTACTTATGTATCAATAAATTGCCAAAGCAAAAATACAAAAATCTAGCAATTGCTGTGCATAATCAATACAACATAGAGATCCTATTCCTCTGATTAGATCAAAGTGTTTATCGAATTTGTATTAGCATTATCCAATGAGGCCCATAAAACAGAAGAGATAGCTAAATATTAAATTAGAACCAGGCTAACTGGATCCAAAATATGCAACATACACGTTCTTGGCAATCTTATAGGCAACCAAATGAATTATGACGCCATTACTACGAATGCTGACCAATACGATAGCTTACTAATTAATTAAAAATTAAAAATATCTGAATTTCCAATTTGCAAGACACCAATCTTCTCATACAGAAATGTTAATGCCTTTGCAGTTCACGTGTTTACATACATTCTTCTATTCAACAGCCTAAAAAAGAAGTGTCAATTTTCTTGTTTTGGGGTAACTGGAACTCTTCGTCCTACTTGTCAGTAAATTAATCCCTAGAACTTGTCGATCACAAACTTTTTATACACGTAGTAGGCATTGAATAAATCATCTTATAATTTACTCCAACATACAGGGAAGCAGAGCTGAAAATGTAAGTTCTGTACAATTGCTGATCCAGAACCAAATTTTTAGGGAAGGGGCTTTTACTGGGGGTGCTTGGCCCTCTGCAGGTTTGCCCTGGATCCATCCTTGATTTAACTCTAAACCATGGTCAAGTACGGATCCAGATCCCATTTTTGAGGGGAGGGGCAAAGCAAGTAAGCAGCGTCTGTGGAGCACTACCTGATCACACCAGTCAGAATTAATTAAGCATCGGGTGAGAAACGATGTCCTGATCAACATTGCTCTGAGCATGCAAAACACCCTCGATTTAAGACACTTAATACCTTCACTCTGATTGATTAAAACCCTTGTCTTTATTTTCAGGGGGGTCGCCCACGATCTCCCCCTGGATCCGCCCTTGACCGTTGGGTCAGTTGGCCGTATTATTGAATCCTAGTACCCGCACAGAGAATGTTATGGTTGTGAAATTCACACCCACATGTATATGTAACATTCCTCTACGCCTCGAGCTCAAACAAGACATAATTCATGTTTCAAGTCTTTCCTGTAGTAATCCATTTAACTCTGAGCACTGAGCACAGCAGGGTAACATGCATGGATGTACCGTAATGCCCCATCCCGCATTCTCTGACAAAATTAGTTTGTTGTGTCTTCACTACATTTTTTGGTGGTGAGCAGAAAAATTAAAGTATATTGTACAGAATTGTTCATACTTCCAACGACTAAAATGTATTCATTATCATTAAAAAAAAAAACAATTTTAAATTGCCCTAAATATGCCACTTGGAATATTTCACGGCCGGGCAAGACATCCCCCCACCTTTCCTCATCCCAATCGCCCCCCCCTCCATTTTCGGCACAACTTGACGCCACTGATACATGTGGTCCAGGTGTGTTCTTATATCGCCCACGTAGCTGGATCAAACCGGTCCCTACCATTTCACAATCTCGGTGTTTCAGAATTACGCTTGCATTCGAGAATTACTGCTTGAGGGCTTTTGTCAATGCCACCGCCACTCCAGCGATTGCACCTGTCAATCAAAAGAAAGGGAAACAAAAATAGAGTTTTAATTACTTGCGAGATTAATAAATAATCTAATGGACTGTATCCAAAGTAGACCCCAAGTCTCGAGCGGCCTTCTCGTCCATCTAACTAGATCCTCTTAATGATTTCTAATGCCATTTTGCAGGATAATTTGTGAGGTATTGCTTAAATACCAGACTGATCATTTTAGTTTAAATTTTGAAGTGTCTCTCAGTCTGACATCATGGTGGAAAGGGATATTTCTATGTGTGAAAAAGTCACTCATTCAGTCACTCGATCATTCATTCTGTCACTCGATTATTTGCTAGGCTGGCTCAAAACTGGGTACCTTTGTTTTTTTTCCATTCCATTCCATTCAAATTCAATTCAATTCTGTTTGCAATTTGCTTAAATTATAATTAGTTTCTCATCGTTAAAATTCCCCAATACGAAAAACATTAGGGATGGTAAGGTCTGGAATGACTCAGTGAAATTTGTTCAAGTCTATTTTCAGGCTTCAAATGAAACACAATGCGTGCCGTCAATTTTTTTAAGATTTGCAGAAAAGTCGACCTGTTGCAATTTGGAACCTTAAAGCCGATTGAAATATTAACAGTTTCAACAGCAGCTTGGGGGAATTTTCGGAGAATTCTGCTCTAATAAATCTGTTTTCTCACTATTCGATAAATCTTTTCTTTTGCACTCTTAATATTTCAAATGTTGTTCAACTTCCCTTTCCTTTTTGGTTGACCCATTAAAAAAATCACCTGAATTCCACCCCTTCGCATTTCCAGGCGATAATTTCTCAAAACGTTTTCCAGAGGGACTCTTCAGTTTAATCCGGATATACTAACCTACTGCCAGGCCGGCAACGCCGATAGCAACTACGTCCTTCGCTGCGTCAGCCTGATCGCTGACTGCGTGGTCATACCGGCAGAAATTGACGAAGTGTTCGCAGTTACTCTCAAAGAGGTCGTAGTCAATTTCAACTTGCTCTCTGTGCATTTCCGTTGCGCTATCTACGATGACAGCAACAGACAATGGATCTTTTTCCTTGTCCTTCGAGTTGTTGATTCTCACTTTGCCCGACGTGCCCAGCACCTCCCGAATGGAGTCGGCTCGTACCTTAGGTTTGGTGCGTGCAGAAACCGCACTGCCTGAGGTCTTCTTCTTGGAGAAGGCAGCCCCTCCTTCAAACATGCCAAAGTGGATGACAGCATGCTCGATTCCTCGGTATCGCCCGACGTATATACCCCAGTGTGAGTATAAATCGTCGCGGCTGAACTCCAGTCGATCTCCCTGGAGTACCGTCTTTTCCAAGGCATTCAAGTCTTGAGAATTAGGCTCGTACCAGCGACCCACCATCCCAAAATGGTTGTTGCTTGCCATACTTGTCTGCCTCGACGTTGGCTCACTGCCAGTAAGGGCAAAACGATGACACTCTAACACGCGGCTGCCAATACTGACACCAGGAACTTACCGAGCAGAATGCGCTTCAGCCAAGAGCTAGGGACTGTCAGATCGGTCAGTCTTCCTCAAGTCTGCTTTTAAATAGCCTTGTTTACGCTTTCAGCACATTTCAGAAAGTTTAATTAGCACAAAGATGAACGTGCAAGGGGCGCGGGGGGATGCACCAGTCTCATGAAGAATTTCGCAGTGAGTGTGCACGTATCGCGCAAACGGGAAATCCCCAGATGTAAATATAGCATAATTATGTGGCATGATTTAAACGGACCTAAAGAACCAGCGGGGCGGAAAGTACAACGGTCAAACCGCTTGTCAAACACGCCCGGTAGGCTCTGCGGGAGACTTCAGTAAAGCTTGCAGGACACATTACTAATGCAAAGTGTATACGAACATTAAATTGAGGTTTTCTAGAATAGATTGGGGTCTCCATTAAAATGGATGTTCATTGACGGTAAAAGATGACACCAGAAGGGATATTTAGGAGGGGATTATTATAATGGGGGGGGATGCATTGAGTGCCTTTTATGAAGTGTGAGCTTACAAGACTTTCAGGACTTTTTTACAGGCTTCGAGAAATTAAATAATGTTCTTAGAATTATCATATTTAAAAACATCGACAAAATCGCCCCCTTGTAATGGTCCATAGAACTATATCAGACTTCAGTTTGTGATCCAAAGGGTTATACAGCGTCAAACAGTTTGACGTGTCGGTTGCAGAGTCCAACTGAGCAGAACTTGTGTTTCATCCCCGCTGGGCACCATTACTGTGCAATAGCTGGTGGGAGAACTTGGGGATTTTTCCGGTCAGGAGTCTCTGACAAGTAACACAAAGACTGTCCCATTTTGTTGGTGTGCGACATAAAAACATTGCATTAGGGTGGGCATGGCAACCCCGCTTGAGATCGTGCTGGCTGCTACAATATTATTGTTTGCCGTCTCGCCTCGGTTTACTTTAGAAATGAACGGAATGGAAGCGTCTGTCAGAATGGTACTATCGACAGTTGTGGTACACTCTAAACAAGGGAGCCTAGGGTTGAACATTTCTCAACATTTTCGTACCCATTTTTATTTGACATGATTTTTTTTCTTATGCGTTTAGGACTGCAAAAGACTAGTACTCTAATCGTTTTACAATGAAAAGCTCTTCCACACCATGAGAACAATAGAAGTCAAAACAAATCGCACACATAATTAAGAAAACCATATTTCATAATTCTACCAGAAGTACTTCCTACTAGCAAATGCTGGCTAAAAAGAGTCAAAGTTGAATATAAAGAGAGAAAAACATGAAGAAATCAGAGCAACACCCAGAAAATTTAAGCTCTAAACCTCTCAAATAGAATGCAATCATAAGTCGGTTTTATAATGAACTGAAATTAACAGAAAAATAAGTCAATAGTCTAAGACAGGGCTAATCGCAAAAGAACAACTAGATTTAATTTGTATAATGCAGTAACATAATACATAACCCTGTGATATTTAAAACATTTCACAATAGAGCACCAGCGGCAGGGTTCAACGAAATGGGATTTCCCAGGCTGCAAATGCTGTGCTTTGCGCAATCTTTTTGAAAGGTCCCTTCCTTGGTAGTCCTTAACAACAAACATACCATTGATATGTACATGTACACAACGAGCTTTTCAATGTTCCAACAGCGCACTGCCATAGTTATTATAAAGAGCTTTGGAGAGGACAAGCAATACGCAGGTGCAAGGTCAGCCCACTGCACTGGGTTATGGGGCTTTTAAAACCCAACTCACCACACTGAACATGTTTGGAGCTTTGGAGCCCTAAAATTTTTTTTTTTACCATTTTTAGTTAGGTGAGTGGAGGTAATAATGATTTACTAGGATTTATCACTTTTTTAGAAATTTTGATTTGTTTAACGGGATTTTCTGAGATTGTTTTAATAATCATGTTCATGTCATTCGCTCGCCGTCACCCCGCGCCCGATTCAAAGTGCAGGGTGAAGAGCAAATTCATTACCAGGCCAATTTATAATCCGCCGTGAATATTGAAAACTGAAGTAGGGGTTATATGCTAGCGAGCCCGATCGTGTCATTTTGAAAGTAAAGAGGAAAAACCGTGAATTGAAATCGAACTAAAAGACAATTCAAGGCATGTGGTCGATTATTGACACAAGATGGGCCTTTGGGATCAGAGCGCATCACACCCCACTGCCTACCCAATGTTCCATACACTGCATGGTCTTTCCCTTGACAATAAGGCTCCATGTACGGCTCCAACCGACGCACATCTCCTGGCAACGGCTGTGTTAATTTCCATAGCGACGCGTCCCATTGCAAAGGCAACTGTACACATTGCCCAGACATGACAAAAGACAACTAGCCCGATTCAAAGTGCGTGGAATGCCGGCATTTCTTGAACTATAGCGCAAAAGGCCAGGAGTGATAGCAAATGACTAAAAAGAATAATCACGAGTTTGTGATTGGTAGCACTGGTGCTTATGCATGGTACTCATCTCATGAAAGCTTCGGTCATGCTTACGGTAGATGGGACATTGGTTGTAAATTCATAAAAAAATCAAGTAGAGGAATAACTCTGTGCACTCTTTGGATGTTGTATACGTTTACTAAAAACATGCTTTGTCATTCCCCCGAAAAATCTTAATCTCTTCCTCGGATGTAAATTAGATGCGACGTCATTTACATGTACAATT